CTCGACTAGAACCGGTGTATGTGCACAGGGAGACCCACGCAAACTGTTTCTTACCAAAAAGTTAAAATGAAAAAAAAAAAAAAATTGAAACCCTGAACTAAAGTTATCATTCAGTTTTAGAGTTTGTGAAACTGACTTCATGAATTAAAAGGAAGGTGAATAAAGAGTATATTCGGCTAGGAGGAAAATATATGAGTTTGAAAACAGAAGGATAATTAGTAAATAAAAAAATTTTGTGTAGCACATGTTTGGGCAGCTTCACGATTCAACACTGTTGAAGTCTTCGGCTGCTTCCACACTTGAAATTCCCGAGGATGTTTCATCGGGAAAAACACTTCGACGCTCAAGTCAGCAATACTTGATGTTCTAGAGAAATATGCTCTAAAAGAGTAATTGTAGAGAGAGAAAGGAGTGGAGATTAATTACCTTCATCGGAAGTAGTTGGAGGGTATTTATAGTCCCAAATGCTGATATGCATTTGCACATATAGGCATCTTATTGGCCCACGTGGCGCTGTTCAGGTGGGTATGTTTGTACTGGTGCTCCCTCACTTCGGGCTATGGGATGTCAGCTTAGGCCCATTATGTACAGCCCAAATTGAGTGTTGGGCCTATTCCAACATTACTCCCCCCTTGGTGTTCGGTTGACGAACTGGGTTGAATGTGTCTGGGGCCCAACATTCGAGCTGGTGACTAGGACGGACAGCCTTAGTAGATCGTGACCGACCTCATTGACGGCCGATCTGAAGGGCGGCACCGAATAAGACGATCTCATGAGCCTGAAAGTGTACGGGCGAGTTGATATCATAACCTCGCTAGCGTGGGCTCGGTATATAATCGAGCTAAAGTGGCTCATAAAAGGTAAGCTCGCCTAGTGAATAGCCATGCACTCAAATTTAGATTGTTACTCGCTATCTCAACGAGCTCGTCCACATTGACATGAGCGCGATCAAACGTGTGACAACCTGAATCTTCGATGCTGCCGAAGGTTTTGAAGTGACTAGGTAATGTTGTCACTCGATCACAGGGATGATCTGAGATGAGGCGACCTCGACCATAGAACGATTTGAGATCTTTGAATAAACATGGTGTCGAAACCGAGCTACAACAAAATGAATCTCGTATGTGCGACGAGGTTAAGTAGAGCGATCTCGAACGCCCTACGGTCTGTGATCTCTGACGAGCTGTCACTCTTGTTACGATCTGATAAATGCGGTCATCGTGACGAGCTAATATGGACGGGACAAAGAATAGATCAACCTGTAACGACCTAAATCTCTGAAGAGATCTCAGATTCGTAACGAGCTAATTCCTCGAGATTTTCAAAATTTGAATTAGTGCCGATCTCTGAGGGGATTTCGGATTTGTTACGAGTTGATCCTTCAGATTTTTCAAATTTTAAACTGTGGCGAATCTCTGAGGAGATTTGCTCAGGGCGTTTGGTATTCTTCTGCCAATGGTAGATATCCCTCTGCCTTCCCGCAATAAACGCTGGCTCAGCATTTGAGGGGACGTGACAGCTGCAGACGGCTAAATTTGGGCACTTAACCATAAATGACTGCCTGCTTTTCAAAAAAAAAAAAAACCATAAATGACTGCCACGTGGACACGGTTAACTAGGTGGCTATAAACACGTGTACGGTGTTCACGGAGCACTATCTGAAGGACAAAAACAAAAACAATCACTCTGTCATTCTTTGTTCCATTACGCAATACGTTTGTGTTTTCTTCAGAGAAGGTTGCAGAGATGCTCCAAGCGATTCCCAAGGTTTTCAGCAAAAGGACGACCATTTTTAGACATTCAGGTAAAAATAACTTCTTTTCACGATGCAAGAGAGCTTCTAGGTAACTAAGGTGGGGAAGACGAAGTGGACGTGATATCAATGGAGCCTATCGCCATGATAGTGCCGCCGGAGTTGCAAGATTCGCCCAGAACCACCACGCCGGAGAGTAGCACTAGTTCGAGCGCGGGTGGTGATTCTGGTGACCGCCGTACTTCAACTTCGTCCAGCGATACATCCGCGGATGAGACATTCGGTGAAGCGGATGGTGTTGGAGAAGTTGGTTACAGTGCTCCAGTGGCAAGTGCAGAGGCGGAGGTGGTTGTGCTTAAGGGGTGGGAGAGCAAGGTTATCAACGGGAGATTGGATAACCTTTGCAAGGCCCCCAAAACTCTACCGGCTGGGTTTAGGTTTAGGGCGGTGCTGCATCACGAAGTTGCAGATGGCGCAGCCATAGTGAAAGGGTACAAGAAGTTAGAGGAGATGGTGAGGCGATACCAAATCCCCAGGACCATCCTGATCCGAGCTGGGACACCAAACGAACGGGCGTGTTCAGTATCACGGACGGGCTGGGTGCCAGTATACGTAGACCATTTTGACGTCGGTCTACGTTTTCCTCTGCCCAGACTAATTTTTGACGTCCTGGCAGAGTACGAGCTGGCCCTTTCACAACTAACTCCCAACAGCATAAAGTTTATCATAGGCTTTATGCTGTTGTGTGAAAGGTTGGGGACGCTTGCAAAGGCGGTGGTCTTCAGGTCACTCTTCTTGTGCCGTTTGTGCCCGTCCACCAGTGGAATGAGATGGTACTACATCTCGGGGAGAGAGAAGATGATGATATTTACCAACATAAGAAACAAAGTAACGAGGTGGAAGAGACAGTTCGTCTTCGTTCGCGATACACGAACAGAGAGAATCAATAACGAACTCGCCGCCCGTCTGTCAGAGTGGCGTACACCCAACGCATATATGAACTACCCACAGTTGACTGTTGGTGATGTCGACCTGAAGAACCGGCTGCTCGATCATGTGAAAGCGAGGGGTTTGGTGGATTTGGAAGCCTTGGTTACCCTGGAGCAGATCGCATTACTTGGGTTTGTCGACGTGGCAAACCTGCACGGCGAAGGTATATTTCTATAGCATGCTAGGATTTTTAGCTGACCTGAATCTTATGCCTTTGTCTGTGTAGGAGAAATGAGCAGCATATTGGAAAGGAAGCGTCAACGAGCTCAAGGCTCGAGGAACTAGGGAGCTGGGTCCAGTTCCTAACGTCAAACCCGCTTTGACGAGTGGTCGCCTGTTGCACCGGGGGCGCAGTTCGTCGCACCGAAGTTCGAGCTCAGCGCCAAGACCATGTGCCGAGCAGAGAGTTGAAACTACGCCCTCGAGTTCGAGAAGGCGCGCGCGGGAGGACTCTGACGCAGAGGATGACATTCCCCTCATCCGGCGGAGGACGAGTATGGGATCGCAGCTCACCCCAGCCGTTGCAGTGCGGCCTGCCAACGTGCTCCCAATGCCAGCACGTGAGGTCGCGGAGCCAACACCTGCCTCGTCTTCTGTAGCGCAGCCAAGGATTGCATACCCAAACGGATTTAGTTACGTAAGGACTGATTGCCAGGTCGCAATGGTATAGGGCATGCAGAGCTTTGTGCCTCCTGCAGACCGGCAACGTGCGAAGGAGCACGTTCAACAGCATGGAGGACATGCTGCTCTAATCAAGCTGATGGATGTAAGTATACTTATCGAGCTCATTGTTGTATTTTATCATTTTGTGCTATAAACTGACGAGTGAACATATATGGTAGGCGTTCAGCTATACCGTCGCACTCTTCGAGTGCGAGTAGGGAGGACGGGTGCAGAACCACGAGCTCCAACAGAGCTGCAAACAACTGGCCTCTGAGAAAGCCAGTTTGGCTGACGAGGTCAGTCGTTTGCAGAGCTCGGAGATGGCGAACCGAGCGGCTTCAGCTGAAAGCCGAGCTGATGAGTTAGCCCGCAAGGTTAACGAGCTGAGGGAGGAGCTTGAAAGAGCTCAGGCAAAGAAAGAGAGCGGCATTCAAGTTGCGAAGGAGGAGGCCGGCCGTGCAGAGGACCGAGCCAAGAAGGCAGAGTCTGATAGAGAGAGGACTCTGCACGAGCTGAACGCCCTAAAGGAGAGGGTCTCAAAAGCTGACCTGCATGTCGCCCGGGCTGAGGCGTCCTTGGAGAAGACCAAGAGGCTCCACCAGCGTGACATCTACTTTGCCCGTGCACAAGGGGTTGAGTGGCTGGTTGGAGCAGGCATATTCTAGGACGCCGTCGTAGTGGCCTTAGCCAACACCACCACAAACATCTTCAATGAGGTTCGTGGGAAGGTGCTGCGACACCAAGCTGACTTCCCGATCGGCGAGCTGGCCTTCTTCAAGGATAAGGAGATCAACGAAGAAGGGAAGAGCCTCACCCAGCCAGCTGACACCCGGGTGAGGTTGAAGTGGGAGCTCAATGAAGAGGGGCTGCCCGTGTGGCCCCCTTCTGTCATTGAAGAGGGGGAGGACACGGAAGGGTTGCCAAGCTTTGATGCTTGGGTGGCAGACCCCAAGGATGTGCCTGTTGAGCCTTCCAACACTCCCCCATCTGCTCAGCCTACCTCGGCCGCTGCTCTTACTCTCTCTCCTCCAGATTGGTCATCTCCAGCTCGATTTGCTACTGCCTGCACAGACACATCCATCCCCGTCGACCTGACGAATGATTAGTTTAGGATTTTTGTTGTTTCTTTTGCATTTTTGTATTGATCAATGAAATTATTCATTATGTACTTCAATTGTAAAAGAACATTGATGAAATACAACTTGAATCTTTTCTTTTGAAATTTCTGTATTGATTGCTGTGTATTTTCTGCACATTGTTATTTACAGTTGATTGACAATAACTTGAATAAAATAATAATGTACATGTTAACTATAAAACTTCCTAAGGTTATGTATGTTTCAAATGAATGGTAATGGACAACCTTGTAGATCTGCCAACTGACAAGACCCAGGCCGCTTAACACAGATAACCATATAAGGACCTTCCCAGTTCAGTGCAAGTTTCCCCATATGTGAGTAAGCGTTAGTGAGCCTGGCCTTGCGTAAAACCATATCGCCAACTTGAAATTGACGAGCTCGAACACGCTTATTATAAAATCTGGCGACACGACTTTGATGTGCCATGTTTCTTATTCAAGACATCTCCCGGACCTCTTCCACAAGGTCTAAGTTCTCTCTTAAAAGCTGTTCATTGCTTGGATCGTTGTGCCAACCTACTCTATCAGATGGCAATCCGACCTCTCTATAGGGATGACGGCCTCAGCTCCATAGGCCAGGCTGAATGGGGTTTCGCCTGTGGCCGAGCTAGGTGTAGTGTGACATGACCAAAGCACTCTATTGAGCTCGTTAACCCAATTAGAATGTGCAGCCAACACACGCGTCTTGAGGCCTCGCAAGATGATTTTATTGGCGGACTCAGCTTGTCCATTTGACTGTGGGGTATACACAGATGTCAAGGCGAGCTCAATGCCATAGCCGTCACATAACGACCTCAGTGCCGCGGCTCGGAATTGTGGACCATTGTCAGCAATGATCCGTTCAGGTATGCCGAACCTGTACACAGATGACCGAGCTGAGCCACAAATTATATTTGTGTATAATGTACCAATGGTTTAGGCCACCAAAGAATACCTGCATAATATGGAATTGAATAGGAATTCCTTTATTTTCTTCTCTGTTGTCGTGGATAATGGTTTGGCTTCTATCCATTTGGTGAAGTAATCCACCGCGACAACTAGGTAAGTGCAACCTCCTTTGCCTTTGGTAAAAGGGCCGAGCAGGTCGACTCCCTATTGAGCAAATGGCCAGGGAGATAAGAGTGATAAGAGCATTTCTCCTGTTTCAACGAAGATACTTGTGCTCAGTTTATAGACAAACATGAAGTTTGCACGAACTTTATAACGAGCTCAGATACCTGGCATGTGAATATCATCAGCATTGAACTGGTAGGTCGGGCACTTTTTGGCATAGCTCTGTGCGTCCTCGACCATAGTAGGCCAGTAATAACCATGCCTCATGAGTTTCCGAGCTAAAGTTCTACCACCTATGTGTGTGCCACATACTCCTTCATGAACTTCCCTCACAGCATATTCAGCTTTATAAGGAGTAAGGCAGCGTAGTAGGGGCATTGAGGCTGCTCGCTTGTAGAGCTGATTATCTAATAGGGTGAAATTTGCCGCCCTGCGTTTAATCAACTTTGTTGCGGGTGGATCTTCAGGCAGCTCGCCACTTCGCAGATATTCTATGAGTGGGGTAGTTCAGCTTGGTGAAGAAGGATTTGTGCTTAGCAGTTGACACTCGATTGTGAAATCGGTGTAGCTCGGGGCATCAAGTATCTCCACAATTGTCGATCTCTGAGGGTTGATGTCTTGTGAGGAGGCTAATTTTGATAGCTCGTCAGCTCGTTGGTTATCTACTCTGGGTATCTTGTCGATCTGGAAAGAGACAAATCCTGATTTCAATATGTTGACCACAGAGGCATAATGACCAAGCTGAGGATCCCTGATTTCACAGCTGCCATTCACTTGGCCCACCACGAGCTGAGAATCACTGAAAACCTTAATGCTTTGCGCTTTCAGCTCGGACGCCAGCTTCAAGCCATAAATGAGGGCTTCATATTCTGCAGCATTATTAGTTGTTTGAAACTAAAACCTTAACGCATGCTTGGATTTAAAACCGTCTAGGCCCATTAACACAGCCCCAGCACCTGATCCCTCGATATTAGCAGCCCCATCCACGTACAGGACCCAGACCGGATATACTGGTGCCCTTTCTTCCACCGTCGCCGAAAGGCACTCCACTAGGAAGTCCACCACAGCCTAGCCTTTTATGGTTGTGCGCGGCTGAAATTTGAGGTTGTACTCACTCAGCTCGACACTCCACCCGATAAGCCGACCAGGGAGTTCTGGTTTCTACAGTATCTTCCTCAACGGCATGTCGGTATAGACAACAATTTGATGGGATTGGAAGTAAGCTCTCAACTTACGAGCTGTGTATACCAGGGCAAAAGCAGCCTTTTCTGCTAGTGGGTAGTTCTGCTCTGCGCCTTGTAAAATTTTACTCACATAACAGATAGGCTTCTGATGTTTATTCTTTTCCCTTAGCAAAATCGAGCTCACTGCCTCCTCTGTAACCCCCAAATATAGGTATAAACTCTCCCCTTCCACAGGCTTGGACAGCAGGGGTGCTAACGCTAAATATTGTTTAAGCTCGTCAAACGCCTGTTGACACTCGGTGGTCCACTGAAAGTTCTTGGGCTCTCGCAGGGCTTTAAAGAATGGAAGGCACCTTTCTGTCGATTTGGCTATGAACCTGTGCAACGCAGCAATACGACCAGTCAGACACTGCACGTCTTTTATGGTCTTGGGAGGCTCCATCTGCTGAACGGCCTGAACCTTCTCTGGGTTTACCTCAATTCCTTTTTTGGACACCACGTACCCTAAAAATTTTCCTGATTCTACAGCAAACGTGCACTTCAAGGGATTCAGCTTCATTTGGGCTCGGCGCAAGTTCCGAAATGTTTCATTCAAGTCAGCTATATGATCCTCCGCTCGCTTACTGGTGACTATCATATCGTCTACATATATTTCAATATTCTTGCCAATCTGAAGCTTAAAAACGACCTGCACCAGTTTCTGATACGTCGCGCCAGCATTTTTCAGGCCAAATGGCATCATGACATAGCAGTAGATTACGTCACCAGCATAAAAAGTTGTTTTCTCCTGGTCGTCCAACAGCAACTGAACTTGGTGATAACCCGAGCTAGCATCAAGAAAACTCATCTGTTCATGTCCCACTGCTCACTCTACTAATTTCTCAACATTTGGCAAGGAGTGAGGGTCTTTTGGACACGCTTCATTTAAGTTGGTGAAATCAGTACACATCCTCCACTTGCCATTTGGTTTTTTGACGAGCACAGGGTTGGACACCCACTCAGAGTATTCAACTCTCTTGATGAAGCCTGCCTGTAGTAGCTTTTGTATCTCTTCATCTATAGCAGCTTGCTTCTCAAGGCCAAAAAGGCGACGTTTTTTTAACCCATGGCATTTTGGTGGGGTCCGTGCTGAGCTTGTGGACTGTCAACTCCGCTAGGATGCCAGGCATTTCATCCGTAGTCCACGCAAACACATCTTGGTTAATCCTTAAAAACTCCAGAAGCACGAAGAACGAGCTTAACTGTTCTTTCTGGAATGTCAGGGTTCAAAGGGATCGTTTCTACTAGTTCTACTGGCTCTGCTTTATGTTCGACACCCTCAGGGCGATGCTCAATGTTTGATATGCTCATTGTCTGTTGATCGGGCTGAGTCGGCCTATGACTTCCAGAGGAGCCTCTCGGGGTTGCAGCGAGCTTAACCTTCTTGAATGTATCTTGATAGCAAGCCTTGGCCATCTTCTGGTTTCCCTTAAGCACTCCTACCCCCTGAGGTGTTGGGAACTTCATGCAGATATGAGGTTGCGAGATGACGGCCTTCAGCTTGCAGAGGGTGGCCCTTCCCAGTATGGCATTGAAAGCTGATTCCATTTTGACGGCTAGGAAGCTGACGAAAGCTATCCTGAAGCACGGTTCTATGCCCACATAGATGGGAAGAGTAATTACTCCCTCAACCGGGACAGGTTGATTATCAAATCCGTAGATGGGCCTTTCATGCTTCTGTAGTGAGCTCGGATTCAGCTGCATCTTTTGAAAACAGCTCCAATACAGGATGTCTGGTGAACTACCAGTATCAATGAAGACCTTGTTGATGTTATGATTGCCTATATGAACTGTTGCCACAAAAGGATCTGCATGAGGCATCATAATGTCGGGCTCTCCCTCTACTCGCTTATAGTCCACCGAGCTGAATGTAATAGGGGCATTTTCCCATTCTGCCTCTCAAATGGCCGCTTCAAGGGCCTATTCTTGTTAACGGTCATCACCTGCCGGGCATATGCCTTACGGCCCTGGGCGCTTTGGCCCCCTGAGTGCATACCACCAGAGATCATGTTGATTGTGCCAGATGACGGGGGTATCCCACTGTATCCAACCCCTCTATGGTCTTTTTGATTCTGCATGGTTGCTTTCTATCCCTGCCCTCACCTATTGAATGGGCGTCCCTTGTATGTTCTGTTCGGCTCGGACGAGTATTGACTCGCCTGGTAAGGAATTGGATTGTTGCCGAGCTGATATCCCTGTACTTGAGATCGGCCATACTCTTACACGAAATGGGTCTGGGTGGGCTGCCAAATGTAAGGCTTCTGTACATACCCTTCCAATTTTCCATTGCGAGCTAAAAATTCAAGCTCGTCCTTCAGGCTTTAACAGTCTTCTGTGTTATGGCCGTATCCCCGATGGTAGCCACAATACTTGCTTCTGTCAGCTTGTGAAGAATCGTGCGTTTGGGGAGGGGGTCTCTTGACCCAGTGTTGTATCTACGCCAATATCTGGGATCTTAACGAGCTCAGGGGAATGTAGCTATCATATTTGGGATAGGATGGCGGTTTTCCTCTCTGCTCGCCAACCTTCTGTTTTTTCTTGTCATCTCTGCCCTCAGGCTGCTTGGGCTCTTTACCCTGCCTATCATCAACTCGTCTCTTGAAAGATTGAAAATCTTCGGACAGTATGAAGCTTGCCGACCTGTCATTTACTTCATTCCACGACTTAGGTGGATTCTCCAGTAGGTCGTCTAGAAACCGGCCAGGCTTCAAACCATGCAGCAAGGCAGACAAGTAGATGGTATCGGGGACGTTGTCAATGTCTAAGGTAGCCTTGTTGAATCGTTGCATGTAATCCCTCAGAGATTCCCCTTCTTTCTGATGAACCTGCATCAGTTCAGTTGCTGTACGTTTAATCTCCCTTGGGCTCACAATTTTATTGGAGAATAGCTTGGCGAGCTGGGAGTATGAGTCTATAGAATGTCTAGGGAGTTTATGATACCATCTTTTGGCCGTTGACTTCAGTGTCGCTGGAAACACTTTGCACATCATGGCGTCATTGGCATTTTGGATTCTCATGATGGCCTGATAGGTATGCAGATGCTCATCTGGGTCACCCGAGCCATCATATGTCTCCAGGTGGGGGATTTTGAATCCCTCTTGATACGGTTCTGCTGTGATGGATAGGTTTAGTGGGGCACTATCCAAGTCAAGGGTCTGTTGGTGCGACTTGGGACTTTTTAGCTCGTCAATGGATTTCTGCACGTCTTTGAGCTGTCTTTCGAGGTCAGCGTTTTTCTTTAGTAGTTCTTCATTATGCTTGGAGGAGCTGGGTTCTGGGTTTAACCTCCCACTTCCCCTTGGTCTGGTTGGGACCACCACATTACTCAGGGCCGGGGAGTTACAGGTTGCAACTACTGCAGCTGGCTGTGCATCCCTGTTCAGCAAAGGAATTAGGGGGTCATCAAGAATCAGGCAGGCAAGGATTTTACCAATTGCCATTTCGAGAACTCTGGTTCTCTCTTCAAGCTCGGTTGCCCGAGCAGGCTCTATTGACCTTTCAAGTCGTTCATGTTGTAGACTGCCCTGCCTGGGATGTCTTTGCCTTGTTTCTGTTGGAATTTGGAAGTGTTCAGGTTGAGTTGCATACCCAGTTGGTGTTCTTTCATCATCATCCGTTCCACTTAATTGATCCTGTTCTGCTCCCCCAACAAAAAGGTTTCTCGGCATTGGCCTAAAATCATTTAAGCCGAGCTCAGATAGCTGAGTGTCCTCCTGCTCATCCATTTCATTTCTTTGGAGGGCGACTTCAAGTAAAGGTACGAACCATTTTGTCTTTCAGCAGGTTAAGCTACACAACTTCTTGTTCAGTTCCCACAGACGACGCCAAATGTTTGGGCAGCTTCACGATCCAACACTGTTGAAGTCTTCAACTGCTTCCACACCTGAAATTCCCGAGGATGTTTCCTTGGGAAAACACTCCGACGCTCAAGTCAGCAATACTCGATGTTCTAGAGAGATATGCCCTCAAAGAGTAATTGCACAGAGAGAGAGAGGAGTGGAGATTAATTACCTTCATCGGAGGTAGTTAGGGGATATTTATAACCCCAAATGCTGACATGCATCTATACATGTAGGCATCTTATTGGCCCAAGTGGCGCTGTTCACGTGCGTATGTTTGTACTGGTGCTCCCTCACTTTGGGCTATGGGATGTCAGCCTAGGCCCATTATGTACGACCCAAATTGAGTGTTGGGCCTATTCCAACAGCACAAAATATATTAAATTATATAATAAAATTATTACGTAAAAAATAAATTTTTTAAAGGTATATTTAGTTTGAGAAAAAATAAGAATATTTTTTTATTTAGTTTCAAAATAATTAAAAGGAAAATGAATATTTTTTTTTTAATTCGTTTATTTATCAAAATTAGCTTTTCAAAAGTATTAAACTTTATTTGCTAAAAAAATTTAAATATTCTTTATATATTTTTTAATTGTGTAAAATTTTTATTTTTCATTAAATTATCTTTTTTAATAATGATGATTTAATTCGTTTATTTATCAAAATTAGCTTTTCA